AAAGACACATTTACCTCATCTCACTCAGTAATAAAACAGAACTTTCATAAGAAAACATCTTTATGTATAAAAAATTCGAAACCACTTGCGGCATTCTTTATTTGGCAAAACAATATTAACGGACGTTGAAATGAGACAAAGTGTTGACAAAACACGGAAACCTTTCATTGAAATTCCCATATGCAAACGTTATTCGTATCCAATCTCTTTTGTCTCTCAGTAATGCTCTCTACATTGTTTCATAATGACCTTCAATTCCTCCTCTTTGCAACTTAATGCTCAGCTTCAATATTCAATATTCTTGTCGAAGACGTCATAGATACACTACTTAAACGTTCTTGTCAGTAACACAAACCTCAAATGTATTTTTGTTAGAAAATTCCCTAACTAGTTAATATTTACAGGCTATAAGTTACATTTCAAACTGAAAGAATTACTTTTCAAGAGTTGGTTTGTAAGGATAAAATTTGTCTTTACGAGTTTGACCACGGATTGGTATAAGTTAGAGAACGATTGAAAACCAGGAAGTACTGGAGAGCTGTTTCATCCTAGTTTGAGAATCATTGGCAGTACGTCGAGTCCCAGTGGCTGAATGGTATACGGGCGTGCCTTATAACCGGAAGGTCCTGGATCTGAACCCCAGTGGGCGCGTACTGCCGATGATTCCCAAACTAGGATGAAACAGCAGCTGTCCAGTACTCCATGATTTTCAATGGTTCTCAGAACAATAAGATCCCATCGTATTGTCGTTATGCCATTCCTCCGAAAGTCGAGTGACCATCAAAGGTGATATCACATGTTTATTTTTCACATGTCCTCAACCACACAATGGAATTTACGGTCAACCGACAACACAGAAAATCTCACATCCTCGAATTCACCACAAATCTATATATATTCTTTTAACAATAACTCCAGAAGTCGAATATTTCGACCTTTCATTACGTATTTGACTAAAACTATATTTCAAGTAGTTGGCCATTGTTTCAAAACCCTTAACTCGTAGAAGATTTAAACTGTTATTTGACCATGTGTTTTACTGTGTCAGCGAAATGGGTAGCGATATATGTATTTAAGATGCTAGCCAATTCAACCACTTATTATGGTTATATTGTTATTATTATTCCCCCGGGATTCAGAATGTAACATACTGCTTCAGAAGCACAACTCCACTTCACCCTGTACTCTGAAGTTCTTTTAAGCTGACTGCAAGATCACTCGCAAGCTCTTATCTCCTACTCATAGGATTTCTTTTATATCACCCAAGGACACTTATCTAACTCATCATTTCCCATTCGGAATCGGCACACAATATCACCCAGCGGTCTCCTCACTATGTGTCCAATCCATCTCCACTTTCTTTTACATATCTGTTGGGTGACTAATTCTTCATTGGTCCATTACCAAAGTTCCTTGTGCCTTACACTTTCTGGATGGCGATCTGATCTTCAATATGGAGCAAATGCAGCTATTGATAAATGTTTGAATCAGGTTGTCGGAAATACTTTTCGTCATGTGCCACGTCTGTAAATCATATATAGAAGGACTGACTGACTTAAAATCAGTGATATCGATCCGTGGTCAAACTCGTAAAAAATTAAAGGATTACTTTCAAAATGATTCAGATGCGAAATTGGTGCTTCATAGCCTCCCTGAAAGGTCAAGTGGAGTATAATAAAGAGGATTTCTGTTGTTCACTTCTTAAATTCATTCCTCTTATTTGAAAAATATTCTGTACGAAGTACTGAATTTAAATTTTCCACTCGCTAACATTTAGTACCAGCATCAATCTATATTTGATATAACCAGCAATACGACCTGGTAGTTTACGAGTCTCTTGCTCTAACGGAATTTCTTGCATGGTAGATTTACGAGCATATCCTTCTAACCATTATTCGTAAAGACAACCACCACGATATAATGCCTCTGGCACGCGAAGCACGCCGTTAACAAGAGAGCTTTCGCTGTCTCGAATCAGCAACAAAAAGGCTCGACAACGCCTGTGCACATATAGGCTTTAAATGAACTTGAGAGACATTAATTTAATTGGTTGGTGGCAATATTTGACAACCAGTAGGGTTCAGCCATCACAGAGAGGGAAATAAAAACATCGCGGCACTGTAAATATAGGCAGTAGTTTAAAACTTTGGAAACGTTGGGTGTAGATAACAATATGGTAAATAAACACAATGCTGACGTCCTTAATTACATCGAAGAATAAACAGTTACGCAACTGAGTCTTTAATCTTTTCCAGTGGCACACACTGACAACGGCAGATATACTCTCATAAGGAAAAGATCGACAAGATTATGAATTCTAGACACTAGTTTAACACATTACTAGATGAACAGACTTATTATAGCATGCACTTATTTTAAATATTCTTGTTTCAATGGTCGCATCCATTTCATCTCCTACAGTAACCTCAGGTTTTTATTATTAGGCTAGAAATTCATTTCGCATTTCGTTTGAAACTAGGCTAACAGGTTTCAACATTTCTTTCAGCAGAAATCGCCATAATTTCACTAGAAATTTTAAGTTAGTCAGCTATTTTGTTGTTATTGATTGCTTTGACAATTTCTTATGTTGCTAATCTAAAGTGTAAATGTTATATAAGCATGCTGGAAGGTGACAGGTGTTAATTACTGAGTAATAACAATGATGATGATAATAATAGCTTTATTCTGGACTGCAGGCTCATTTATAGCACGGAATTTTATTTTATTCAAAATCTTCAAGTTAAACATTGATCTACGGTATATGGCGTACCCCAAATATTCATCAACCTTATTCAACAGCTGGACGACAACGGCACATGTCAAGTGATCGACAACGGAAAACTCAGCGAGGCGTTTGGAGTAAACACAGGAGTCAGACAAGGGTGCTTATTATCACCAATGATATTCCTAATTGTGGTGGACTGGATTATGCGTCAGACAGTGGGAAACGTGAAGACAGGGATATTCTGGAACGACGTGAAGAACCCAGAAGACCTGGATTTCGCACGTGGATGATTTATGTTTGATGTCACACAAAATCGAAGACTTACAAGCGAAAACCGACCGACAAACTGGTCGATGAAGCAGCCAGTGAAGACAGGACTCCAGGTGAACATAGACAAGACGGAGGTTATGAAAACAACCAAACAACAACAGCAGCAGAAACATCCAGCACCAATCACCATCAACGGGAAGGATTTGAAAGAGGTTACTTCATTCACTTATCTAGGGAGCATTGTCTCAACTACAGAAGAAACGGACGAGGATGTCAAATCGAGAATCGAGAAGGCGAGAAACACATTCATCAACCTGAAACCAATCTGGAAATCTTCGTCACTCAACATCAACAACAAAATTCGGATTTTCAATACAAACATCAAGTCAGTTTTGCTATACGGATCAGAAAGTTGACGGGTCGCAAAGAATATGTCCTACAGGTCGCAGACCATTATCAACAACTGTCTTCGTTCTATACTGAAGGTCAGATGGCCGGAAAGAATCACCAACAAGAAACTATGGGAACAAACAAAACAAGAACCAATCGCCCAACAAATTTGCAAGAGAAAGTGGAGATGGATTGGACACTCGCTGATGAGGCCGCTGGGTGACATCGCGCGTCAGGCCAACGCTCGAGTGGAACCCGAAAGGGAAGCGGCGAGTGGGACGTCCCAGGGTGACATGTAGGAGATCGTGTGAAGAAGAGTTGAAACAGTATGGATTAACATGGATGCAAGTGAAAAGTACAGCAGAAGACAGAAGCAAGCAGAGACGTGCAGTAGAAGCCCTATGTTCCACTAGGAACCCAAGGGAACAATAATAATAATGTCATTTAATAGAATTTTGTCCTCCCTGTTACATGTTTGAACCCTCAGTGGAATTTTCTCATTAAAACAGACCAAGTCGTGTGTTGTGAGCCACTCAAAAATGCATGTGAGTACAGATTATTCTTCAAGAACTTAAGTAGGTGGATAAACATAGTATGATTGAGTAAATTTCAAGTATTGTGCTCTGTAGAAAACTAGGCAGCTCAGTGATTTAAGCAAGCTGCTGTCACAAAATAGTTTGAAGGAGTAAGTCTTTTAATTCCGACTTTTAGTGAACATTAACTTTTAAATGCGGTGTAGAGATTTACTAAATGTTATAAATGAAAGGAAACCTGAAATCAAAAATTCTGTTACAAAAGTAAACCTTTGAATGAATTTCATAGAAAGAATGTATGCCCTTTGGTAAATTAAATGATGAAAGCCATATGCACTATACTTTTTTAATACATTTTAGACCACGCATCATGTCAATGTTAGTGAACACTGAATAGTTTGTTTGTTCGAACTGGTCTCCATTTGGCGGGAGACAAGAAGGCTGTCATCACTTAATTGTATACTGGTTGGCAGAAGATTGGAGAAATACTATCAGAAACCTCAGCACTGATTAACCACTGTAAATCTGTTTCTGTATAGCTTGAAGAATTAATAATCGTGTTGTCCAACTATTTTCTGCGTGCATAGTGATCTAGGTATTAGGCTTAATCTCCTGAAACTAGCGATAGGTCCAGGATCTCAGCTATATGGATATTTGACACACCATTTGTCGATCACTTCAACAAATAAATAGCTAGAGTAGCTCTCGCATTCAGCTTCCATCCTAGCAAAAACAATACGATGATGGCTGTGGCTGGAGTTTTAAATAACACTGTTTTCAGAACTTCTCGAGTTAATCCATTATCTCAAGGCACTGTAGATATATTATTGCCATTCGTAAACAAAATTCAACCTTAATTCAAAAATGGTTTTCTTCCTATTACAACATACCCTATTGATAACGACAGATATAAGCAGTATATAGTGTGACGTCTCCAACAAAATCAATGGTAAATTATATATAAGTGAAGAACTACTTTAGAAAGTTGACATTCTTAAAAATGATAAGCATAGATTGTCATACACTTCAATCTTTTACACTTGTTAATTTACATATCAAAAAAGTATACAATAAAGACTTTTGCATGACTGATAAATGATGAATACATTTCGAAATAATATATCACAGTTAAGATGTACAGAAATTATGAAGTCGGAAGTATTGAAACAAGAATAATCAGTTTGCTTTTCTTTGAATTAAATTTCGCTTCAGCTGTGTCAGTGTCTATACAGCAAGGTAAACGAAGATCTAATGGTTGAAATTCAATTGGTGCGTCTACAACCTTCAGCATAACTCGATTCTATAGAAAGAAATTGTAAACAAAAATAACTTCCACTTATTATACATATAAGTGAATTATGAATCATAATACCTAATGGCGAAGAATAACGATGACTTTAAGCCATTTGTGATAATCAAAACTTAATGAATGTTACATAAAACTGATAAACTTCAGAACTTTGAGCTTTACAACCGTCAGCATATGAGATAAAATCATATTCAACACCACTCAGGATTTATTTTTATCAGCTGATGTCTCCCAGACAAAAATTATTCTCAGGCATGTCACAGTTCCTACTGTGATAAGACTTTCTCGCTAAGTTTCCCAACGTTATGCTCCGGTAACTAACATACAGCGGTTAGGACTCTCGCCAACCATGTACATGGTCCGGGTTTCGATCCCCTGCCGACGCACACCTGATATCTATGGTCGGCCTGAAAAATTTGGGATACCGATATCACATGCTGAAAATTCCATACATGTATTAAAATATTAGGGTGTAGAATCAAGCTGTAATCAAAAACAAATATATGTGTCGGACAGCCATATCAGTAAATTAACTACTCAACAATATTGAAATGGGCAACACCCGAATTCAAAACATTATTTATACAGATCTGAAGTAAACGTTGTGTATCTTAGTATTGGTTTGTAGGGATTTGATTGATTAGTTACAAGATTTCATCATGAGTTGACATCGGTTAGAGAACCACTGGAAAATCGATTTCAGCTCATAATGAAATCCTGTAACCAGTCAATCAAATCCCTACAAACAAATACTTGAATATCAGTGAGATGCTCACTAGCGACTGGTCCTATTCAGGTAGGTAGTTACTTAGAATTCTAGTGGGAAGTGGTGAGTAGCAGGGCACAACAGGTCGGGCGTGAGGACAGATACTCGCCGAAGACACTGCGAAGTGGTTGCGCTATGTCGTGAATTGGCAGAAGTTGGAATTCATGGGCCATTAGATCGGGTCGCAGTTGTGTATTTTAGCTGAACAAATAGACGGCAACTTAATGAACATGCTTTTCGTCAGGCTATTTTTTCATGTTATTTTTGCAAAGTTATTCATTATTGAAATTATTTTCAAGCAACTCTTAGGCTTTGGGGAGAACAACATTTCCTCTCCAAATATTTGTTAAAAATTCCATGAATAAAAATAAACAATGAAATTTTGGAGATTTTGAATCAGTAACTTATACTTCACAACACTTATTTCCAAATTTATAATGCAATGTCTTTCTTAAGCACCACAAATTCAGATTTGACAAAAATAGTTTCAAAAAGTCGTAATGATGAACTTTGTTTGAATCCACGAAATCTACGCTATTACAGGTTAGAATTTAAATGTTACACTTATATATAAATAACCAACAGTTGGACTTAGAAACAGTACACAGTTTCAGTGATACAGTTTCAATTTTGCCTAGTCAGCTAAAACATTCCTGACAAATGAAGCCAAGGAAAAATATTATTACAATGCGACTGGACAAAACCTGAAGCCTTCTTGAAGTGGGTAATTTTTGTGTATAATGTGACTTGAAGTCAGCATTGGTATTCAGTCAATAGAGGAGTTACTTACTGTTTTCCCGTAACGACCCTAGTCGCGACGTTATTATCAGTGCTGATAATGTCAACCCATATCAAATTTTTGGTGATGTTATAGAATCCGAACCTCAATATGCTTATCATATCCACCACCACCAGCAACAACAACAACAACAACAACAGACAACAATCAGAATAAATGGGAGGAACCTGAAAGAAACAACCTCCTTCACCAACCTACCTGGGAAGCATCGTTTCAACTACAGGCCAACGGAACTGACGAGGATATCAAAGCAAGAATCGGAAAAGCAAGACAAGCTTTCACTACTCTCAAGTCTGTGTGGAGGTGAACAGCAATCAGCATCAAAAATAAGATCCGGATTTTCAACTCCAATGTGAAGTCAGTCAGTGCTACTATACGGATCAGAGACTTGCACTGCGCGTCATAAAGAGCATCTCAAACAAACTACAGACCTTCATTAACAGTTGTCTTCGCTCAATACTCAAGATCAGATGGCTGGCCAGAAAAGATCAGCAACAGAGATCTCTGGCAATGAGCGAACCAACCAGGAACCAATTGTGAAACAAACAGGCAGGAAGAAATGGAGATGGATTGACTATACTCTGAGAAACACAAACCATCAAGTGACATCACTAGACAAGCCATTGCTCGAGTGGAACCCGAGAGGGAAGCGGCGAGTTGGTCGTCAGTGCAAGGGTGAGTTGGAGGAGGTCATGTGAAGAGGAGATGAAAACGTGTGGGCAGACTTTGAGCCAGGTGAAGACTCTAGCAGAGAACCGAACGCAATTAAGACGCACGGCTGAAGCCCTATGTTCCTCTAGGAATTAAAGGGTACAATAATAATAATAATAATAATAATAATAATAATGAAATTTCAATGTCACTTCAACAGTATTCTGATCGTTTATATCGATTTGGGAATGGATTAAATATTCATTTAAGTTTTACTGTTTAAAGACGACTCAGTTTATCGTTTTCATAAGATCAGAGTTTTCAAAGATTAGCCTGGAAACTTAAACAAATACGTTACAATGCTTCAACCTTCTTAACTCAGTTCATAAATCACTCATTGTATATTAATCTAATAGAAGCAAGATTCATCTGATTAGCTCATAGAAGTCTGATCTGCTTTTGTTAACAGAGACTGAGAAGAAAAACCTTTAATGGGTGTCGCACCTAAATCACAAAATGAATAGTTTAAAAGTTATACATATTAGACAAAGCAATAAGAAGACGTAATTTGTCTGAATCGTGTAATGCCTTTGCTCAGCACATTTCGAAAAATCTGATCTCACACGAACTTGTCATTGGAATATATATGAAATTAATAAAGAGTTAAGAAGTGAAACAATAGAGAAGATTTTTTGTAGCTCAGGTGGATGATTTGCAATTAATAGTGTTCTCTGAGCTGGTTGGTTTAGTTAAGAAGCTTTCATCGTCCTTCTGGACAACATCCCCAGCGCCATATTTAGCACAAAGTGAAATGATTTAAATTTCTTTATGAGTGATGTAATTGCGTCTCCTGGTAACTATCTTTACATATGTATTGACCATTTTCTATTGACTCGGATTTTAAACTTTCTGGTCACCTGATTTACTTTGTATTGGTTGGTATATTTCATCTATATTAACGTGTTTGTTAATTGCATTTTCGTTTGAGTACCAGGCTTCTAGGAATTCCCTGGCACTTTTAGTGTTTCCTCTGTCTAAGATTTTGACATTATCCCAATCAAATTGATGACCATAATTGCATATAGAGAATTATGCATATAGACGAAATATACCAACCAATAAAAAGTAAATCAGGTGACCAGAAAGTTTAAAATCCGAGTCAATAGAAAATGGGCAATACATATGTAAAGATAGTTACCAGGTGACGCAATTAAATCACTCATGAAGAAATTTAAATCATTTCACTTTGTGCTAAATATGGCGCTGGGGATGTTGCCCAGAAGGACGATGAAAGCTTCTTAACTAAACCAACCAGCTCAGAGAACACTATTAATTGCAGGTTAAGAGGTGAGAAAATAAATTTAGGTCAAGTTGGCAAACAAATGGAGGGTCAAAATAATGACCATCGAGATCACTAAACCAAATAACAGAGGTATAGTACAACCGCCCTGACTGGTATCCAAACAAAACTAAGTTTACCAATGAAGGTTTAATGTGATGACGAATTTTTTTGAACGCATAAAGGTGGTTTAAACTTTCTAACTGCTAGGGGTTCCACAAACTTTAGGATAAGCCCCAAAAATGTTTTATAGACCGGTTTAAAAGATGTGTAAACGTCAGTTTTATGTCCAGTCTCTATAATGTGCTTCGCAACAGAGGACCTAGGTCTCCTGTTCTCACCATTAATAGGTTCTGGTGATTCTATATGCTTCTGGAGCCATCTAGGAATATTCTCTGAAAGCCTTACTTGCAGCGATTGATGAGTCCTCCCTATGTATGTGTGTCCACACGTTCATTCAAATTGGTAAATGCAGTGGGATGTTACATCATTCTTCGCATGTTCAAAGGGCTTAGATGGATATATTGGCTTTACATTCTCTATTATTATGATATTAGCTGCATAGAAAGTCTTATTAACAGCAGCTCTTTTGATATCCCATATAAAGTAGCTTGATGTACACGTCTTTCTTAGGGGCGAGTTGAATGTCCAGTCAGCAGTGGTAGAAACTGGTGAATGAAAGCTGCACAGTAATTATTGAAAGTATTTTCTACCAATTTATTTTATATCGGCACCAATTAAACAACCATATGTGTCTAAAAATGATACAGTGTTTGACTCGTTGTCTAAGCACACATAACTGGATGATTAGGTATGGATTACCGAACCCAGTCATTTCAAGTAACACTTGTAATTATCACGACACAATAGTCTATCCATCAAATCTGATTTCTACCAAATTCACGACAGAAATTAATTTTCACAACAATGAAGAAAAAAATATATAGTTTCCCTTCATACCTTCATTAAATCTACATCACACTGTTTGCCTGATTTTAAACCAGGCAGCTTGAATGTCAATTTCAGTTTGTTCGTGTTACTTGACTTTCCTGTGGAATCAGAAGGAATTACTTCAGCTGTCCAGGAAACAAGTTTTCCTCTCTGTTGTGTAGGATCCGCGGCATCGTTTGACACTTCGCTTATCTCTTCGATAAGAACTTTATTATTCAAATGAGGATTATTAGATTCTGTAGATGGCAGCTTAAGAGTTTTAATAGTACTGGAGTCAGTGTCATCATCACCTTCATGATGACTGTTCAGTTCACCTCTTCTCAATTTCGTTAAAGCTTCTGGTGTCAAATCTCGTATGAGGCTAGTCTGTTGACCAAGTTGTTCATCTCCTGTTTGAACTGACCTTTTCAAGAAACCGATTGATTTATAGATCTGTTCTTTGCTTCCATATATGTCTGACTGTTTCAATAGTTTAGGACGTATTGGAGTATTTGAATAAATGATACTGTGTGATTCAATTGTAGGTAAAGATTTTTCATTTTCTAAGTAATTTAATCCAAGCCAAACAAGTTGATAACGATTGTCCTCGTGATCTTTTTGGGAATAGAATAGATATTCACTTTCTGTGTGATCATCTTTTAATGACTCATTGAAGTTATGCTCATTGAATACTGCAGGATTGAAAGCCAACGTGATGGCATCAACTGTAATAAAGGAAGTTTTATAATGAGTTTGTGTTAAAATTATCACAAGAGATTCTATTGTTTCGAAAAAAATACTTTATTATGATTTATTGAAACCACTAACCAGAGTTATAACAGTGACGGCACTGATTAAGTTGAGCTTGCTGAGACGTCAGGAGTCAATCGTTAATGACTAGAAAACGATTATAATGATGCATTCGCATTTACTCCTTAGCCAGCTACGAAATTTTAAACACAATCACTATTGATGTAGAGAATACCGATTGAAGATGAAACTAAAATGTTGGTCTATGCGTCATGCAAACCATTGCCCACTTATTTGCTCTACTAGTTGAGTTATGAGATACCGTTGGCAATCAGATAATCATTTTTAAGTATTGGTGTCAAGGAATATGAACATTGAACGTTGGTTCATTGACCTTGGTAACCATTGGCAGGCGACTCGAAGGCGCGAATGGTTCGATCGTGTACAAGTTCGAAGAAGACGAAAGAATACGAATAAAAGTACATCATAATTTTGTATAAAACATGTGTTTATAGACTTGTAATTGTCTTTACTTTAATTGTCAAACAATATAACTTCCCAAAAGGTACTGATGCTTCGGAGTTGAAGTCGAGACAAGTACATAGTAATTATCGATTCAGAGCGTCTTCGTTACAATAGGAACTTAGGGCTAAGTTCCTTGACAATTGGTTTGTAGGGATTTGGTTGATTGGTTACAGGATTTCATCGTGGGCTGACATTGGTTAGAGAACCACTGGAAAAACTGGGAGTACTGGACAGCTGTTTCGTCCTGGTTTGGGACTCTTCATCAGTGCGCACCCACCAGGATTCGAACTCAGGACCTTCTGGTTACAAGGCGAGCTCGTAAACCACTTAGCCACTGGGACCCGATCTAATGGGCCATGAATTCTAACTTCTGCCAATTCACGATATGGCGAAACCACTAGCCAATGGTTCCAATGGTTCCCTAACCAATTTCAGCTCACGATGAAATCCTGTAATCATTCATTTTTAAGTTTGAGCATGAGCTGACATCAGGTAGAGAGCCACTGGTAAACCAGGTAATACTTGATAGCAATTATGTCCTAGTTTGGGACTCCTCAGCACTACACCCCTCCTCTCCCCAAAGCCTAAACCCAAGGCCTTTCATATACAAGACAAACACACAGACCATTCAGCCACTAGGACCTCATTCACTGGTCAGTCCATGAATTCCAACTCCTACCAATTAGTGATTTTAGCACGACCACCATCCAGTGTTGTCAGCGTGTATTCGTCCTCCCCGATACGGTGGAACCCACTGGTCACGACTTATTATTAAAACCTCAGGCGAAGATGGAAATCACCTTTGCTTCCAACCGTCTGTTATATTATTAGTGTCAGTCTGCCATCTTAAACAGCATCACTGACTATATTCACTGTCTTTCTTTATCTCACTTCAAAATGAAACACTTTAGATTGTATTCTCTGAACTGTTTGGCTATATTTTTGGAGCTTTTATTATCCTTCTAGACAATATGTCCACCACTAACTCCGAAATGAAATGACGTCTTTCAATTCTCTCTTTAATGACCCAAACCGTGGTGGGTTTTCTTTCGGAGATTTCCTTACCAACAGTTTTCCAGTTGAAAAGATTCCGTAGTTGTCAGTGAGAATTGATACGAATGAATATAAGTCAATAATTTCGCCTTCTAGTGAATATTCACGGACGTGAAGATAAAGTAGGCCTCTACTTTGTCAGATATGATATGCTTGATGACTCATATGGTCTACTTTATAGATTATATTGGATTTTAGGGAATAAAAAGACAGTCGTAGCGGAGAAAATTTTCTTTTCGACGAAGTCATCATCTAGGCTGTACATTCATGTATTTATTGAACTTTCCCATCCATTTGATATAAATACACGAATGTACAGCCTAGATGATGACTTCGTCGAAAAGAAAATTTCCTCCGCTGCAACTGTCTTTTTATTCCCTATGATCAAATGTGTATATACTGGATTTCTTTTCTTTTGGTGTTGGGTCTACATAATATTTGAGGGAAACGACTGTGTTTGTTAGTGAAAAAAGTATTCCAAAAGATTTCAATAGCCTGGCAGTCCCTTCAGAAGTGTTCTTTATATATAACAGAACGGCTTTCTCTGTACTATTAAAGGATAATTTTGTGTTGGGTGAATGCATCAAGGGTAAGCGTTTTCGGTTAAGTTTAGGGGGTATATATTTTTCTACAGAAATGTCATAGGATATTTCTGCGCTTTTCACTGTACTGTACTGTACTTCTGTAGTGTATCCTGGCTCTTTGGAATGATTCCATATTAAATAAGTTTATATGATATAAAGTCTGGTGATACAATATTTACAGCTGAATGGTGTTCCGAGCACAAATGATGGCACATGACTTCCCAACTTCCTCTATAAAGTTTTACTGTCTCCAGTCTTTTCAATCTTCTCCTTTGGATAGCGTTTGTATATGACTGCTTTTATGTGCTGTTTGACTGTTGACACTGTAAGTAAGAAATTTAGCTGTGTAGTTTGACCTTCTAGATACTCGACTTCGCAAATTTCCTTTCGTTGATGGAACTTCGTTCATTGATTTCTTTTCTCCTGTACATTTGATACTGACGAAAAATGTCGTTGATTATGCTGAATGCTTTCCAAATTATTTCTTTCAATGATCACGAAAGTGTATTCATTGATATTTACCTATATGTTGATTAACAACAGTAAGTGGAAACGATTTCGCTCCTATATCTCAGTGAAAGCAAACTCTCAAAATCCATCAAGGTACCATTTCATTATAAAATAAACTCTGAATGGAGCAAAACGCACCCTTCTCATTTTGTTGACTATTATCCGCTACTCTCAGGAAATTGACACTTTGTGACCAATAGATATTCATCAGTAAAGACAAATGTTTGCAAACACTTAGATAAAACCCAATTTAGTTTATCTAATACCCTCTCTGCAATGATTGTCAGGTCAGAGTAGTAGAACAGGGGCAGTCAGACTAGCCGAACATAAAAACCTAGCAAAATCTATATTAGTTGACCCGAATAAGATAAGAAATCTAGAGAATAGTTCAGCTGTAGCACTCACCACATGCAATTACACACAACCACACAATAGGATGGATGGGATAAGATGACAGTTTTAAAATCTAATGTCACAACTGGGTGGAGGGAGAGATTGATAACAGAAGCTTTGTTTATCGAATCAACTGCAAACACGTGCAATAGGAATGATTCAACAGCTGTCCAGTTGGACATCTGGAAAATTCTACTGCCCCTACGACGACAAATAGGAGAGAACAAAGAGAACCATAGAACTCAAGTTTCGAATTTGTGTGATTATCATTGATGAAATGATTATGAACAGTAATAAATTGTGTTCCAAACGCTGTCATCCAGTAAATAATGCTGTTTCACTGTGTGTGATATATCTAATAAACAAACATATGGAATTACTTACTACCACAGAGACCAGGTTTTATACATATATTAGATAAAACCCCATTTACATACTTATTATTTCTCTGTTAATAATAAACCCTTGAACTATTGAATTTCTTTATTAAAAATAACCAAATATATCACTCTTTTTGTCTAGAACATTCTGTGGTACTTTTAAGGAAAAAAGAAACAATAGTTCTCCCATTACTATCTGTTTACCTTCATTGACAGTAAATGCATCACCACATTTGACAGAAATAGGAGCATCAGGTGATTTTGGTTCTGGAATAACTGACCATTCGCAAAAGATAACCAATAAAGGTTGTTTCTTCTCCTAAAAACCATAAGAAAAATGCTTTATAAAATATTTTATAGTTTCTCTCCGTCCTATAAATATCCAAGTAACGGAATATCTAATAAAAGTGGCTAAGTGGTCGACTTACCAATGTAGAACTTTGTACGGCAGAGAGAATAATTCAATGAAGATTATCACAATCTGAAAGATAACAGGGAGTGAACACACTTGCGTCACTGTGAGCAACTTTCGGCCATATTATCAACAGACTCCAGCCATTGGTTCTTGGCTTGACAGTGACCCCTAGGTCGAATAAACTTCACTGCCTACATAGTTCAATCCAACAGTCACTTACTTACTTTACTTCGGCTATCTCCTACGGAAGGATGAGCCGGCTTCATGAACATCTCGAATCGTTTGTAAGAGAGTTCATGAAGTTTCATGGGAATTTGGTACGAGTGATGTCCCCAGAATCGCTCGGCCTTTTCTTTGAGAGTGCAGCTCTAGCCTTTACACAACCAAGTGTGACCTACAAGGCAGTAGGAGTGGAGTAGGGAGTCCAATATCCATTGGCAGCCGGTGACCGGAGTCCGGTTCATACGCCTTTTTGAATGGGGCCAGACATCCAGGACATCCAACAAGCCCTTTGTCCATACTTCTGCCGGTGAGCTCCAGTGAGCTTCATACGCCAGTCGTTGGAGGTTTGGAATCAGGGTCTAGCCATCTCCCCTAGACTGTCATCCAATGGACAGTGAACCCGGTGAAGAGCGCCGGGCATCCGCTTTCGCCCTCTCACTTTAGTGAAAAACACCTCCGCCACGTGAAGGCAGTGAGTAGGACTTCCTCAGGAGAGGCTATGTAAGACGCCCGGTCATATGGGAGCATTTCAAGAGGTGTGCGGAGGGGTGGCCAACCCGCAGCACAAGGCACCCACCCCCGACCATCCTGAGGCTTTGGAGGCAGTCACCGACTTCATGGGCTGGTGTTATGCTTTCGTCTAGCCACCGATAACTTTTCTTATGCCTAGTATTATTTCACTTCGTATGATTCACTCCACACTGAAGTCTACGCTGAAGATGCTATCTAGAAAGACAATGGAAACTTCAAAATCAAACCATCCAGCTTAGAGAACGCAACTAAACCAATACATAGATATACATATTACTAAAATGGCAAAACAGTAGTGTGACAGCATGTCTCCCTTTTTCTGCCATAGTATTTTATTATTTAGCTGAAAATACCCAAAGTTTCACACAGAATTAATGAATCATTTTGACAATAGTGTTATTTCTCCCCAAACATTAAAGCTGACCGTTTTCTACATGACAACAGCTTATGGGTTATCAGAGTAGGAAGTTCGGATAAGGCTGAAGGCAACTGATGGAAATAAACAGCGTATTATTACTACTCAAATAAATTTTCCTACAAAGTGCAGTCGTGATGCAGCCAAATGGTAAATGTATCCCTTCAGATTTTATTCAACACTGTGTTAATGACAAGAGGCTGAAATTTATCTGAAACGTGTAATGTATTTAAGCAAAGAATTTCTGAAATTCGGATCACAAATGTACTTGTCATACAGAGCACAAAAATTCATGATTTCATCAATATAGGTCAAAATGTTTACAGGTTATTACCGCAGGTGAGAGGTAGGAAAATGAGGTGATGAAATGGGGTAAGAAGGAAGGAGGAAGGTGAAAACATTTTGAAGTGAAATGAACCTTGCTTCTACAATTGGATCGCCAATGATTTTGGAACACGAAAACAGATTCAATCATTTTTATGACTTAGCCTTCAACGAATCTAAACATGTTACCCAAATCTGCTTTTTGTACAAGTCTGAAGGCACTATTGAAATCAACTTTATGACCCGTCTGTATGATTCAAATTTAAGTGCCTGCAAGAACAAATAAAATCATCTGCTACAATTAATCGCGGAAAAGATCGTCCAACGTCATCTATCGCAAAGCACATCATCGAGATGGATCACAGAGTTGATTGTAATAATGCCTTTAAGTCCATACATAAAACAAGTTTGGGTCACATACCCGAACTTGCTGAAGCCTTTACCATAAAAAATCCTTAAACCTGTTTCAATCAGTTCGAAAATTATTTGTCATTACACTAAACCAGCCTTGGTAATCTACCCACTCTTTTTTCCTATCCCATTTTCTCACCTCATCTTCCTACCTCTCACCTGTGATCATTACGTGTAAACATTTTTACCTATATTGATGAAATTGTGAATTTTTGTGCTCTGTATGGCAAGTACATTTTGTGATCAGAATGTCCGAAATTTGTTACATAAATACATTACGCAGCTGAGATAAATTTCGTCTTCTTCAGTAATATTCCATTTGTGAAGTGTCCTTTATTCATAATTCAGGTATTCAGTCAACCAGTCTTCACGTAACCACCTTTTCTTTTTAATGATAAACTGGAAACTTTTATTTTTTAAAATTAATTTACAGACTGCTTAAACAGTGCATATACGATCTATTTGATTGAGTTTTTAGGTGATTTTTACGCATGTACCTTTACCTTCCTTTTCCAATAATGTAAGACTCCTATGAATTTTCACCAGTGATGTAATTGCCAGTGGACCACCTAAAATAATGTCACTCTCGAGATACAATACCATCACCGCTACTTATGGAACTCATCCGCTGTCATCAGCGTCAGTATCACTGAATGAAATGAAGTTTACTATATTTATATTAATAATTGATGTATCGGATACAGCTTTCCATCCATTACGCTCCAATCAACGCTTACAACTGTTCTCAGCTTATTATAGCATCAATAAAAACCTATTCCCAGCGGAACTAATGTCATACAGGTTATAGAATTCGAACAGAGGGGATGGTTTGGATATGATTACAATAAGCATATAAACTGAAAAGAAAAGTGAAAGAAGGTGGTCTACATGAATGTACCCTTCAAAGGTGACCCTCTGGCTGATACCTTGAAGAAGAGGATATCTACTGCTCTCAGAAGGACATTCCTCGCTGCTGCACTACGACTGACATTTTCCTTCCGGCCATTGTTCTTCAACTACTCTAAAGATAAACTATCGCATTTGACCACTTCCATGTGCGTCTACCAATTCTCCTGCTCTTGCGGAGCGAGGTATATAGGTCGTTTGATGCGTGTTTTATCTAAAAGAGTTCAAGAACACTATCCCGCCTGGCTACGGACAGGTAACAACGGAGCAATAAGGAGCGCCATTATTGAGCATATACTCAACACTGGTCATTCGATTTGCAAGGAGAAGTTGTTCAAAGTCATCTATAAAGTCAAAAGAAGCCTTCCGAAATCGACAAGCTTCCGTATACTCTGTATTTCCGAAGCCTTGGCGATTTGGATAGAAAAGCCTGAGTTATGCACACAGAAGAAACTTCTCCACCCCCTCCTACTACCGAGGGTTTAATTTCAAGTTTATCTGTCATCAACATTTTGTTATCAAATTTTTTTGCAAACTTCGTATACTAATTTTTAGTAACTAACCCATTCAATATTTTCACCTATTATCTAGTTTATTTTCATAATTGTCTCCATACTCCTACACTAGCATCTAATCTTTCTAAACATGTCTATATTACGTAACCCTACTCACATCTTACCAATCTTCACACCACTTAGTTACAACTTTGATTATTAATCACACATTTTAATTTCTTTTTTATTTTGATGATGTAATCAACAACCCACACTAACTGTTGTTTTGATTTTGATTTTGACAAACCTAATGTACACACACACACACACAAAATTAATTGTATATATTTGCGACTGTACGGCTTGGTGAATGAATTCGCCGAAAAGAGACTCTTCACTGAACTAATTTGTTCTTATTTCAAAGGCTTCTTCATTGTAAAACAGATGCCAATCAACCATTCTTTTTATAATTTCATTATCATCTGCCACAATATAGACCTTTAGAAGACTGAGATAAGTGCTAAGACATTTTTTCATTTAATAACTATGGAAGCATTGACTTCCATTATACGACACTAACGAATAACATCGAAAAAATAACAAATATTAAATAAAGTTAGGTTAACTTAACCGAAGATGTACTAACCTTTTGGGTTACTCTGACAACAAAACGTACAACAGGTGGAGATGCACTTTTACGAAAATTCTCTAACTGTCTGTTAATAAACTTTTGGTATCCAGCTGGATCATTCTCCGACATCTCATCTAACATTTTCCATAGTTTATTTGCATCTTCTAGTAACTTGTTAGCTGACATATTTTGCTAAATCATATCATGAAACCACAAGCAGGATGTTGACTTCTAAAGTGATGCAAAAATAAACGTAATAAATATGTCGTAACTCCGTTAAAATGTCAAGTGTAAACCAGGGTACAATGACCAAAAATTGCACAATATCTTTGATAAGGAAGTTTGGCTTTTAAAACAAAAAATCCCGACTCTTAGTTCTTATAATTTAATTTCGAAAGTATGAATGTATACATTTATAAAATTATATTTGTAAAATTTCAACGAAATTAAAATGATTAATTCCAACGTTTCGTTCGGTCAAATTTTGACCACAGTTCATACAATTTTTGTTTATTATACCTGTTGATACGTGTTTCATGATTCATATGACGGGACAAACAATTTAAAAACAAGAGATATCCTTTTATATTATAAACATACGATTTTATAGGGTGCACGATTAGGCAGGTTCGTCTACGGGTTCGAGAACATTTACCAGCTTGGTTCAGCAGGGGGAAAATTAAGTGCATAAAAAGCTCGATCCTGTCACACTTGGTCGATAGTGGACATCATATCGATGTCAACACAGCTTTCAGGGTTATATACCGAATTCCGAAGTCGTTATCACGTACAGTTAGCTTACGTCTTCTACACATAGCTGAAGCTGTTGCAACAAGATCTACTAGACCGGAACTTTGTATCCAAAAAGAACAAGTCCAGACGCTGTTCCTACCGTGGCCAAACTTGGATTGATGATTCTTCTTCTCACCAAGAGTGCTCCTTCCCCTTAACCCTCTTGGCTTTTTTTTCTTTTGCTTATTATTACAAATATTATTATTACAATTATTATTATTCGTCATAATTTATGCCCTTCATGCAAACATTCTCTCAATACTATCGAATTTTCCATTGATATTATCCGAACTTATTATTAGTGATATTATCTCTTTTCTCAATATATGCCTACACCTATTTTATTTCACATATTCGTTATTTCATTATGAACCTCTCATTGAAGTCTTGCTATCTCCTGTTTAACACAGACCACTTTGTACTAGCCACTCACTCACCTGACACCTTTTATAACCTTGAACTGACTTGCCAATTTTCCTACCCCACACTCTACAAATCTATTATGATTAATCACCATTGTCTCCCGTTTTACAATATTTTGTAATCGAATTCAGCCCAGCACGTTTGTCACACAAATACGACTATTTATTTTGACACCCCATAACTAATCTGTTATTCTACGTTAGAAATGTATCTGTCGCATAACTGGCCGTTATTGTAACGACATTTTTATTTATTTATTTATTTATTTAAACGCATTAGAACTTGGTACAATATGGCACCAAGAAAGATGCGCCACACAATAATAATAAAACAACATAGATGAAAAAAAGGAAGGCAGGAAAAGAATATATATATATAAGTAGAGAACGAATAAAGAACTTCATCTGGAAGGAAAACACTCATTCTTAACAGGTTCAAGCAGTGTTCGTTAACTATCATCGGGAATGGAAGAAAGAAGGAAATCGCAACACATTCGCCATTGATTACGATTCTTGGCCATATCCGACAACGTTTCGAGCCATTGATTTGAGCTATCTCTCAGACCCCAACCAGGGAGTCGTGACGCACCAACGGATGCTAATCTAGCACAGAAATCCTTCATCCCACGACGCCACGTCATGGGCTGACCACCTCTCCGCCTTTTCCATCCCGTCCCAGGGCTAGCGAACAGAGACCTGTACGGAAGCCTCTGGGGTGACATTCGCAGCACATGTCCAAGCCACCGGAGCCGGTGTTTCCAGATGACGACATTCAATGAATGGTGATCTCCACTGTGTTCAAACACACGCCGCCGAACCTCAGAATTACTCACGCGATGATGCCATCGAACGCAAGCAATCCTGCGGAGACAGCGGTGATCGAACACGCAGAGTTGCCTCACATCCTCAGCTCGGAGAGGCCAGGTTTCACAGGCGTAGAGCAAGACCGCCCGCACCGAAGCATTGTATACCCGACCTTAGACAGCCAGGCTAACGTCGCGACGGCGCCAGAGGTGGCACAAGTTGATGTATGCCACCCTAGCTTTCATTATACGGTTGGAAATCTCATCCGTCACCCCTCCGCCAGCACTCACACAACTACCTAGGTACACAAACTTATCGACAACTTCAAGCGGTTCACCCGCAAGAGTGAGTGCAGGTACAGGCTCCTGCCAATCTTGTAACAGTACTTTGCACTTAGACGGCTCAAAGCACATACCATACTTACAGACACTGATCGCCAACTGATTGAGTGCGATTTGGGCAGCCTGCATGCTATCGCACAGTAAGACGATATCGTCTGCATACTCGAGGTCGAAAAGTCTATCTCCAGGTAGCAGATCTACACCACCTTCACGCACATCCTTCAGAGCTGACTCCAGAATGTCATCGATGGCAAAGTTAAAGAGAAATGGAGAGATTGGGCAACCCTGTCTAACCCCACTGTTGGTTGGGAACAGTGGTGATAGTTGGTTGTATGCCCTCACTCTACCTGAGGTGTTTCTGTATAGGGCTTTCAAGATGTTAACAAATTTCTCAGGTACACCTCTCTCTAACAGACAGTTCCAGAGCACAGTTCTGTCCAACGAATCGAAGGCAGCCCTAATATCAAGAAACACAACGATCGTTGGCCTGCAATACGTGTGGCGGTGTTCCAACAACTGACGAAGGGTGAGCACATGATCAATGCATCCACGACCTGAACGAAACCCAGCCTGCTCTTCACGAATCAATCCTTCACGTATTTTGCACAGTCTGCGAAGCATGACAGCAGCCAATATTTTAGACGCAACTGGTAACAGACTGATACCCCTATGGTTGTCACACGAATTACGTCAACCCTTTTTAAAGATGGGGACGGTAATGGCTTCGTTCCACATTGATGGTACGCTCTCTGTCTCCCACACCCTTCTGAACAACCCAGTTAGAGCCATTATGAGAGTCTCGCCACCCTCTTTAAAAAGAGCCGGGGGTAATTTGTCTGGGCCGGCCGCCTTATGGCGTTTCAGAACTTGGAGTTTCTTACGGACCTCCGCTTCGGTGGGTGGGTCGGTACTAACCGACTAAGGAGCACTCGGGCTAATGATAGTAGACAATGAAGCTGGTGGCCAGCTGAACTGCTTCCCGAAGTGCTCTGCCCAGCGTTCCAGGCGTCTCTTCAGGCTAGTAATTGGAGTGCCATCTGCCTCACAGACCATCTCGCTGACACCTTGTTTCTTGCTGCCAGTGGCTCGTATGAGTTGGAACAGCTTCCGACTGTTGCCAGATGCAGCAGCTGACTCCATCTCATACGCACGTTCTGACCACCAGGCTTCGCGGTCCTTACGTAAACACTGTCTAATCTTGCGCGTGAGCGCCTTTCGCTGATTGTTGTATTCACTGCCAGCCGGAATGGACCGGCGTTCATCCATGAGTTGCAAGGAACTCGCAGAAACCCAGTGGTTGTTAGCGGAGCATTCTTTCAAGCCGCAAGCGGCTACACTCGCCTTTTGCATGGCACCTTGCACATGAAGCCAGTGTTCATCTATACTACTTGGGGGGTTGCTGGCAAGCATTGTTTTCAACTCGTTCTGATATTTCAAAGAAGTAGCAGGTGCTACTAGTTTGCTCACATCAACGCTTAGACGACGGTTTTTACGAACCCCACCAAATCGCAAGACGAACTTGGCACACACTAACGCATGATCGGAGTCCAGGCATGTGCTCCAGAAGGAGCGACAGTCTTGTATGCATCCTCGCCACCGGAAACTGACCGCAATATGATCAATCTGAGTCCAAGCTTGCTTCGCAGAGGGAGGACGCCAGGTAGCGCTACGGCGATGGCTGTGCCGGAAGTTGGTGCTGGCTAGAAATAGGTTTTGACCCGCGCAAAGCTGCAGAAGACGGTCCCCATTATCTGACCTGCGACCATGTAGTCCCCACTGACCACCTAGACGACTCTCCTCTGAGCTTAGACGCCCGACCTGTGCGTTCAAGTCCCCAGCTAGCACTACGATATCCCTCCGACCCGTCTGTTTCAACAGATCGCTCAGTTGGTAGTAAAACTCATCCTTCATTGCATCCGGGCTGCAATCCGTCGGTGCATAGGCAGAGACAACAAATAGACACCGCCTATCTGGCCTACCACTCCTTACTTTCGTATAACCTTCCAGCCTCACAGCACATAAACGACTGTTAATGGGAATCCAGTCGAGCAGTGCAGCTTCGCCTCTAGCACTCAGTGCGACACCGACACCAGCTACGCCGGATGCTGATGCCACAGGGTCCCCGGATAAGCGCAGGTGGTACATACTACTAGAACTTCCAGATGGAGAGGACAGTCGAAGCACTTCACTGGGATCTTGAATGCGGGTCTCCGAAATGCAGCAGACATCGATAGCGAGGCTTTCCAAAGTTCTTGCCAACCCTGCCTGTTGTCCGATTTGCATCAGCGTCCGAACATTGTAGGTAGCCAGCTTGAACGCAGCACGCGGTTTCAGGATATCTGTGTTAGAAGTCGCATTGGGAACAACCATTTTGAGGACCACTCACTAACATCTCGAAACGACACGGATAGGCTGGGAATCTCGACAAAGGCGAAAGGCTGTCGAAGGTTAAGAAGCCAAGGTTAGCAAAGGTAAAATACAGGAAACTATGTTTAAAGATAAAAGTAAGATAGGAAGGAAATAAGTTGCTTGAGGGATCAATATTGCTTGGAATCATTTTTACTAGCGCGCGTTGAGTTTCAATGAGAGTTCGTTGCTTCAATTCATTCATTGTGTGCGGGCTGAGATACTGCCTGGGCGCCCAGACCGAAACAGGTGGTTTTATTAAGGGACCACCCCCCGAGCCTTTGACTTGGAGTCTAATCCGCAAGGCAGCGGAGCAGCGTCAGGAGCTGCATTCCCATGGTTGCCGGTGACCCATATGGGTTCATACGCCATTCGATCCAATTGGAAACTGGAGCCCATGTACCCCATGGTAACTGCTTTTAGTCTAACCGCTATCCAAACAACCTTCCTGACATGGTAGGACCTG